TGCTTCAAGATTATTTTTATCTAGAATAACTTTGCTGTACTACCTGGCTTCTCACGTAAATCTGCATTATAAGGAAAGAGTACATTAATCCCATATTCTTGTCTTCCTTTTTTTCTTTTTTTAAGATTTTATTTATTTATTTGTCCGAGAGAGTGCACAAGCAGGGGGAGCAGCAGAGGGAGAAGCAGGCTTCCCGCTGAGCAGGGAGCCCGATGCGGGACTCGATCCCAGGACCCCGGGATCATGACCTGAGCCGAAGGCAGACGCTTAACTGACTGAGCCACCCAGGCGTCCCAATCCCATATTCCTTTGAATATGTTTTATCCTGTGACAGTACTATTTCCTAATGGTGAATAATAAAGTGACTTCTGACTGAATCTTTGGTCAGGATTTCCCAGTTCTTTTTTGGCTGCCTCAGTGAGAGAGCTTTGCAAAGTTAGAATTCTGGTGCTAATCTCCCAGAGATTCAGATTAAATTGGTCTCGGATGTGGTTCATGAATCTGTTTTTTTAAAAAAAAAATCTCACTGGTGATTGTGGTGATTTGAGAACCACTGCTTTTTTATAAAAACATATATTTTTATTGAGGAATAATTGACATACAATATTGTATTAGTTTTAGGTATATAACAGTGATTTGATGTTTAGAAATGCTGCAAAATGGTCGCCACAATAAGCCTAGTTACCATCTGTCACCGTATAAAGTTGTTACAGTAATATTGACTATATTCCTTATGCTGTACATTACATCCCATGTCTTACTTATTTTATAACTGGAAGATTGTACCTCTTAATTCCCTTCACCTATTTCATTCATTCCGCCCCCCACCCTCTTCCCTTCTGGCAACATGAGTTTGTTCTCTACCTATGAATCTGTTTCTGTTTTGTTTGTTTCTTTTTTTTTCTTTTTAGATGCCACATGTAAGTGAAGTCATTTGGTGTTTTTCTCTAACTTACTTCACTCATCCTGTAGGTCCATCCATGTTGTTGTAAAGGGCAAAATTTCATTCTTTTTTTATGACTGGGTAATATTTTATTTTATATCTATACACCCCAGAAAAAGAACCACTGCTTTAGGTGACAAATGACTCTTATTGTTATTAATTTGTACAACAATCTAGTTCAATATATAAGAAATGGTCAAAGGAAAGATTCAGTCTTAGTAAGCTTTAGGCAGAAGTTTAATGCTGTTTGTGATGGGCTAAATATAAACATCAGTTAAAAATATGAAATCTTAATGGAGGGACCAAGTGTTATTGATGTTAAGATGTGTTGCATTAGGCTTGGAGCTGCACAGCTTGAGGATGGGTATCGCATCTGCTACACAGCTGACCAGCTGGGGGCCGCCTGCTCAGGCTCTTAGTACTGCATTTCTCATTTGCCAAAGGGGGTGGTAAAAGTCCATCCTATAATCCATACGAAGCCTTGAGCCCAGAGCCTGATATTTGGTTAGCGTTCAGTAAATGTTAACACTTGTTGCTATTTAGGTGTTTTTCCAACTAGGAATATCTTTGGTGAGCCTAACTCCCTTTCTGACTCAGGTATTTCTTGTGGCTACAGCACCTGTCTGTAGTAGCTGGTGAGAGTGAAAACTCTAGTTGGTCTTCATACAGTCTTAACCACAAGCGGGGACTTTTTCAACATCTTTCTTGGACCAGTTGAATTAACCAGTACAGCTGTTGAGCAGTTAGAAAGCTTGGTATTAAATCTTAAGATATTTTAAAAATTAGTTTTCCAGCTAGTATAAACAAAATTATAAACTAAGAATCAAAGGTCAGTTTTGTAATGATGGTTTTTTTAAGCATCTAAGGGAAAGCAAATCCTCCTTTTACTTTTTTCAGTTTCACTGAAATTCTGGTCTGGATTTTCTCAGGTTCTAATTCATATTAGGTTGTGCTTTATTTAACAGCTTTTAAGAGCATGTGGAAAATGTATTTTCTACAGTTATTTTTTTAAAGGAATAAATAAGCTGCTTAGGGGGGTTATTTTGTGCAAAATATTTAGCTTAAAAGGAGATCTAATTCTACAGACAGACATTTTTCAGGTTCCCAAATTAAGGGATAAAGCATTCTTTTTCTACATATTATAGGCCTATAGAAATAAAATTAGAAGAAAATGTGTCACATAGGCATGTGTTAGTTAAGAAAATGGGCTCTTGATTGAAACCCTGGCTTTTCCCACTTACTCAGTGATTTTTGGCAAATTACTAAAGTTCTGCTCAGTTTCTTCAGCTGTAAGAGGCCTAATAATATTACCTAATAGGGTTATAATGAGGGTTAAATTAAATGCTTAAATGAAGCATTTAGGATGGTGCCTGATACAGTTGGTATTTTTATATAACATTCTTTTCCTTTATAAAGTTAAAATTCTTTAAAATTTGACATAAAATTTGTGATTTCATATCAGAAAACCTGGATTCAAGTCTCTGTGCTGCCATTCATCAGAGTAGGCAGGTAACCTAGCCTATGGAAACCTCCTCTTCATATTCAAAAGTAGAATAAAGTACTGTATCTCAGATGTTGGTGTGAAAAATAAATTCACCTCCCAGTGGGGCTTTCTGCATCCCTCTAAAACAGCACTCATTCAGTAGAAGTAAAATGTGAGCCACTAGTGTAGTTTTAAATTTTCTGGTAGCCACATTTTAAAACCAGAAACAAATGAAATTAATTTTAATATATTTTATTTAATTCAGTACTTTTAAAATATCATAACATGTGATTGATATAAAATTGATGAGATTAAGTTTTTCATGGTGAGTCTTTGAAGTCTGATGTACAGTTTACACTGAAAGCACATCCTAACTTGAACTAGCAGTATTTCAAGTGCTCAGCCACGTGTGGCTAGTGGCTGCCATATTGGACGGTCCAGATCTAGATGCTGATGAATATTCCTCCTCAGCATCCTTGGGCACTGGTGCTGCCTTCACCTTAAGCAGTGAACACAGCCTTATTCTTGAAACTGTATGCATGTCTGGATGGATGAGTCTTATATTTCTTCCTTTAGCAACCTAGATTAGTATCTTAGGCCCTGGGAAGAGAGGCTTCTTCCCTTAGTCTTTTGGCTGACCTGGATGAGGACTTGCTCTAGGCATGTCACATGCCTCTATTTGGGCCAAGGCTGGTAGACAGCCAGGAATTCCTGAACCCTTTGAGTATGATAAACCTTTTGAACCACAAGGATCAGAGCTCCAGGGTCAGATCAGAGATTCAGGATAGGATCAGGCTTTGTAATACTCTTCATTCTTGCCTCTTATCTGTCCTTTTTGCCTTCTTCCCAAATTTCAGAGACTTATCTAGTGTCCCGGGAAAAGAGCAAATACCAGCAATCTTTTAAAAGAATTCAGCTTCTCTGTTCTCCACTTCAGTATAGCTTACCAAAAAAATCCTCCCTTCCCAAACATTGACTTTTTAAAAGACATGAAGAACCTTTTTGGGGCTAAGAGATTTTGGAAGACAGAGGAAGTATTCATATCTAAGCCTTTTAATTTTTAAGGTTTTCTGATACTGTCTTTCATCCAAATTTGAGGATTTTAGTGAAGGGGTATTGTCCTTAAAGCCGTATGTAATGGTAAAAAGAGGTAGAGAAAATGGGATTCGGGTGTATTTATCCAACAAAAAAAAAATCTCACATGTCATCTTCTTAGAAAGTCCTCCCGTGGCCACTCTAAAACAGCTGCTGGTGGTTAATGCTCTATCTACCTTTTGTTTGCTTGTTTGTAAATATCACGTGTTACTAACTAAAATTCTTTGTTTGCCTTTCCAAATAGAATGTAAGCTCCATAAAGGTATGGACTTTGTTTTGTTTGTCTCTACATCCCCAACTCTTAGTACAGTGCATGGCCTTCAGTGTCTGTTGAATCTATGAGTACATGAAAGGAAATTCCAAGATACCATTCAGTATATATACTAATGACTTTAAAATTAGATACCTAGTAGAATTCTTCCTTGACCATTGTTGCTCTGACCAGCGTATGGGATATGCTTGAATTTTCAGACCTAATCTCAGAAGAATCCTCGTGTTTACTTTTGATCAATTGTTTAGATAAACTTTTACTTCTTTTAGTGTGGGGCATGAGGAGGGGGAAAAGAAATAGTTTATTGTGGAGTTGAAAAACGGAGTTGGAGGAGCTCATCTATAGCAGGTGAAAATTTCATAAATATACAGAGTAATAAAATGGGGGGTATTGGGATAGGGAATTAGATCAAAAAATTTTTATAGTTCAGGTGCTGTAAATATGTTTAAGGTTTTTGGGCAGGACAGTTGACATAGTAGGTAATAAAAACTTAGGGAAAAGGTGAGAGAGATTCATAGCCAGAAAGATTCGTACTTTTAAAGGAAGCGTAGGCTATATGGGCTAGTAGCCAAAAATCCACAAATCATATTTCTATTGTCTTTGTTTAGAATATTTACTTAAAATCTTACTTATCCCTATAAGTTTCTCAGTTGTTGTTCTACTTTTCCTCTCATGCCTTTGTACCAACTTGATGCCACTACCCATACTTAATGCTCCATGGAATTATGAGCACAGACTCATCATGCTCTGCAAAGGCCAGAAGTTCCATTGTATTGAATGGTGCCCCCCGTTTGTCCCAGGAGCACCCTGCCAAAAGAAAGTAATCCAAACATGTTGAAAACTCTCCAGTTTTATTAAGAACTATTTATGTTGCATTCAAAAGAAGTCACTGCAGACTTACTAGTTTATACCTTTCTTTGTCCTTCTTTAAATGAGAAGAACAAGTGTTTTATGTAAACAAACCAGCTTTTTCATAGTAATATGAATAAGTTATTTGGTTTGTGAATATATTTAAGAAAGCAACTAGCAGAGTAATACATACTTTTTATATAGTTGACTATAAGCTTTGTTTCAGGTTTTTTTTTTTTTTTTTTACAATTTTTTGAATTTAAAGAATAGTATATAGGCAATTCTGAAGGACTATTTCTGATTACATTTAGTTTAAGTTCAAATGATGCATTTTAATCTAATATCTTCTTTCTTCTTAGTCTGTAAGACTTGTATTGTCCAGCACTTTGAAGATAGCAATGACTGTCCAAGGTGTGGCAACCAAGTTCATGAGACAAATCCATTAGAAATGTTGAGGTAAGTAAATATACTTTATAATGAACTCTTTTTTTTTTTTTAAGATTTTAGTCATTTATTAGAGAGAAAGTGAGAGAGAGAGAGGGAGAGAGAGAGCACAAGATGGGGGAGGGTCAGAGGGAAAAGCAGACTCCCCGCGGAGCAGGGAGCCTGATGTGGGGCTGGATCCCGGGACTCTGGGATCATGACCTGAGCCGAAGGCAGCCACTTAACCTAGGCACCCCAATTATATGAACTCTTAATATGTTTTATTATGCATCATAATATTTGTTAGCACCTTGAATCAGTTAGTACAGGTTTTATGAATTTTTTATTTTCATTTTTAAGCATTTTGTTTCATTTTAAAGCATTTTATTAAGAGGAATTTAAAAATAAGTCTGTATATATTAAACATTAAATATTTAAGAAATATATTTCAAATTGTTAAAACTATAACTTTATCTCAGAGCTACCTTAGTTGTAGTTATTTTTGGTATCTTAATATTCCACACATACTTTTATTGAGCAACACGGTAGTAGAAAGAGGGCAGACCTAACAGTGAGAGACCTAACAATAGTACCTTGGTACTATTAATTTTTTAGTTATATCAAAAAAATATATAAACGTTTGTGTAAAACCTAAAGAATTTTTTTTAAATGACTACCATTCACTTAAGTATAATTCTGTATTTTTAAAGCTGGAAGTAGTCTATAAGATCCTAATCTAAACCCTTTTTTTTCCACATTAGGAAACTGAAACTTAGAGAAGTGACACAGCTTTTCCTAGGGCTTCAACCAAACACACATGTCATTTCGCATCTACAAGCCCCGTTACCACTAAACCCGTTTTCTTCCTACTTTTCCTGCCATAGCTCCACCACAGATCAACCGTGTGATCTTAGGGGAGTACACATCTAAAAACAGAGCTAGATATTCTCTACACAGCCCCTGTATAACCCTCATAATCTGTGTGACGTTTGCCATCATTCTATAAATCTGGATTTGCAGGTCTTACATTTCAGACTTTTAAAAAAATTTTAGTGCCTGTCATTGGAGTAATTTATCTGTAGGTAAATGTTAAGCCCAGTGGTTTTCAAAGTGTAGTCCCCAAACCATTAGTATCTTGTTAGAAATGACAATTCTCAACCCCACCTCAGACCTGCTGATTCAGAAACTCAAGAGTAGAGCCCATCTTAGTTATTAGCAAGCCTTCCAGGTGTTTCTGATATAAGTGAACATTTGAGAACCACTGTTCTCCTGTACTCTGTAGTGCTGATCAGTGCTTCTCAACCACTGGTGATTTTGCTCTACCCCGCCCCACTCCCACCCCCGGTGTACTTTAGCAACATCTGGAGACGTTTTTGATTGTCAGGTCTGGGTGGATGCTGGTGGCGTCTAGTAGGTGAAGGGTAGGGATGCTGGACACCACTGAGCATCCTGTGATTCACGGGACAGCCTCCTCCCACACCAGAGAGCCAGCCTCAGATGTTAGCAGTATGGAGGTCAAGAATCCCTGATTTAAGTCACTCAGCGATGAACAGGGCAAACTCTTCCTCTAAAGTTTTTTCCGGATGCTTTTATCAAAAACTATACCAAACAACAATTACTACCTACTCCATTTTAAAGTGCTATGTTGGAAGAAAAATTAACTTTTGGTTTTGACTATTAGATACCCGAAGGGATCCAATCTCCACTTAATCAAATGTAATCCCTTGGCTAAAGTATGTCACATTTTTTAAACTTTTTACTTGGAAATAATTTAAAACTCAAAAAGTTCCCAAAATACAAGAAACGCTTGTATTTTCTTTACCCAGATTAGTTTATTGTTAACATTTTATCTCCTTTGCTTTAACATGTGCATACCTGTCTGCTCTGTTTTTTCTGAACTATTTGAGAGTAAGTTACACACCTCATGGCCCCTTATCCCTAACTACTGTAGTGTGTATTTCTTATAGAGATCTTACATAACTACAGTGTGATTACATTGGTATAATATTTTAATCTATCCTCCATATTCCAGTTTTGTCAGTTTATCTAATGATATCCTCTTTAGAGTTTTTTTTCTCCTATCCCACTAAAATTATTCTACAAAGGAATAATAACCTTTAAAGACAAACTCACAGAGATGATAAGAACAAGAACTCAGTATTCTTGGCACTTGGGGATAACTCCTAGAATACAATGGGTTCTCAGTAAAGACTTGCAGAAAAGATGAGAAGTAATGGGAGCAAGAATGGGAATTGGAAAGCAGACTGATGGAGGTGATAGTCGAGCAGACCCAGGAGGTGGCTGACAGAAGAGCTTCACCAACAGGTCCCCCAGCAGGCTTTCTCTCACATGCAACCCTAGTTAAAGGGGAGCTGTGGGGTCTAGGGGTGCCTTAGCAAATTCTGATTTATGTCTGAGGCTGGACATATTGCTGCCAGAACATAAACAGATTTTGTTAGCAAAAAATAAGGGGAACGAAGGCTTCTTCAGTAGGTAACATTGTGTCTAATACACAGGTATCAACAGATTTTCCTCCTACATACTTTCTCAGGAGGCTCTTGGAGGATGTCCTGGAGCCTAAACCAAGGTGAAAGGGACTAACATGGGAGAGAGAGGGTGGAGGATAGCAGTTGGGCAGCAGGCCCGGGAAACAGTCTGTGTCAGTGCTGTTCAGTCTCATAGCCATTAGCCGCATGTGGCTGTGGAGGACTTGTGATGTTGCTAGTATACCTGAGGAATGGAACCTTAAATTTTATTTAATTTAAATGAAACCCTGAAACAGTATGAATACCTTTACATTAAAGAGAACCTTACTGTTAAGTAAATTAAAATTACTAAACAAATGCATTGTTAAACGTTTAATGCATAAACAAAACATTAGAATTTTACACAAAACGTGTAAAAGACTTTTGTTAATGTGCCCACTAGAAAATTTAAAATTACATATTTGACTCACATTCCTACTAGACATCGCTGGTAAAGATTGTAGAAGGAGGATGGAAAGAAAACGCTATGAGGAATCATTCATTCAGAGATTTACTAAATGCGTGCTGTGTTCAGGCATCATACTAGGTGCTTGCGTGGGCAAAATAGAACAAGATTTTTGCCCTTGTAGGGTTAATATTTTTGTGGGGAGAGATGGACAACAAACTGTATAATAAATAGATGGTACATTACAAAGTAACAAAGGGGAAAAAGGAGAAGGTGCTGGTGAGGGGGATCAGCAGTGTAAAGGGAGGGGCAGATTGCAATTTTAAATGAAATGGCGAGGATAGGCCTCATTGGGAAGGTAAGCTTTGAGCAAAGAATTAATGGCCATGAGGTAGTTAGCCATATATAAATCAAGGGAAAGCATGCCTGTTCCAGATAAAGGGAGGCACCAATGCAAAGGAACTAAGTCAGGAGTGCACCTGAGACTTGTTGGAGGAACATCAAGGAGACCAGTGAGTGAGGGAGAGAATAGTGGGAGATGAGGGCAGAGAGATAATGGGAGTCATGTAGGCCGCTGTAAAAATGTTATCTTTTACTCTGAGTGAAATGTTATCTTTTACTCTGAGTGAAATGGAGAACCACTACAAGGTTTTGGTTAGAGGATGGACATGACCTGGCTTAAAAGGATCATTTTGAGGACCATGTTGAGAATACAGTGTACATCGCAAGACAAAGGTAGAAGCAGGGAGAGCAGCTAGAAGGTAATCCAGGTAAGAGACGGTAGCCACAGAGGGCGCGAGGGATGGTTATATCCTAGATAGAGTCTGAAGGAAGATCCAGCAAGATTTGCTGGTGGATTGGATAGAGTATGAGAGAAAGAGTAGACCCTGACCTGAGATTCCCGACTGAGCAACTGGAATAATGGAGTTGTCATTAACTGAGACAGGGAAGACTAAGGATGGAGCAGCTTTGGGGAAGGGGTGGATTGGGAGTTTGGCTTTGTACATGTTGAGTCTGTTAATCATTTCAGAGGAGAGAGAAAGTTGGCAGGTGGATATACAAGTCTGTGGTTCAAGGGAGAGGTCTGGCTGGAGATAAATATTTGGTAGTATTCATATAGAAGGTATTTAAACTGTGAGACACGGGATGAGATCCATTGAGGGAGTACAGAGAGAGAATAGAGGACCAAGGATTGTGCCTTGGAGCATTCCCACATTGAGAGATCAGAGTGAGGAGAAGGAACCAGCAAAGGAAGCTGAAAAGGCTCAGTCAGTGGAATAGAAGGAAAATCCAGGAGTGTGGTTTGGAAGCCACGTGAAGAATGTGTATCAAAAAAAGAGAGTGATCAACCATGTCAGATGTTCCTGGAGTCAAGTAAAGTGAAGACAATTGATGGTTGGATTTAACAAGGTGAAGGTCATCAGCCTTGACAAGAGCACTTCCAGTAGAGTCATGAGGCAAAAACCCAATTGGATTGTTTCAAGAGCGAAAGGGAGAAAGAATAATTAGAAACAGGAAGTATAGACATCTCTTTCAAAGTTTTGCAACAAATGGAAGCAAAGAAATGGGATAGTAGCTGTTAGGGGAAATACAGTCAAGAAGGTTTCTGTCGTATTTGATACAAGCCAAAAAAAATGGCTTGTTTGAAGGGAATGGTCCAGTAGAGAACAGAAGGTTAGTACTGTAGGAGAGTGGAGGGGAGGGGGATTGGTAAAACAATGTTCTCGGTAGATGAGAGGGAATGGAATCTCAGAGAGTGAGAGAGGAGAATGGCTTTATGTGGGAGCACTGACGGGTCATCTGTAGCAACAGGCGGGAGGGCAGAGTACGTGTGGGTGCGTGGGCTGTAGGCACACACGGTGGTCAGAGTCTGTGGAAGCTTTTCAGGGAGGAGAAAATGCTTATCAGCCAAGAGTAAGGATTGAAAGAGGGGATGTAACGGTTTGAGGAGAGAAAAAATTGTGCTATCCAGGAATGTGAGAGAATAAATTGACTGGAGAAGTATAGTAGGATTCCTAGCAGCTTTAGAGGCACATCAGGGTTGTAGTTAGGAATTTGTAGGGGTGCGGCTGTGTTTTTTCTAGCCATGGATGCAGGTTAATGAAGAATTGGATTTAGCCAGTGGTGTGGTTGTAGCAAATAATTTTGAGCAAGTGAGAGAGGGACAAACAAGGGAATTGAAGGTACGTTGCAAGGGTGTGGTTTTAATGACTGACCTTGGAGTAAATCCGTCCTAAACTGGATAGAAGGAGAGGACCTCAGTTCGGTGAGGAATGCCTCAGAGGAACAGAAATGAAACTGGTCAATTCCTGATCTGTTTGAGAACAGTGAGAACAAATTCTTTAAAAGAATTTGGGCATAGGTACATAGAAAATGAAGAAAAGGGAGCAATCACTAACACTAGAGAAAGAAAAAAGTTGAATGAGGGGATGTCTATAATCAGAGTACACTGTAAATATATAATTATAACCATGTAAACACCTCTTATTAAACCAAAAAATGGTAATAAAAGTATATCAGGAGATGAGAGTATAGTATACATTGGGAAGAAAGAGGGCTGGCAAGATGGTATCAGAGAACCAAATCTTTATTTTGATAAAAGGAAGTCCAAAGAATCTAGACAGCAGAAAAGGCATGGCTCCCAGAAGAAACAGGTTGGATTTGAAAGTGGCTGCCCCTGGGGTTGTAAGAATTAGGAATGGGGAAGGGTGGGGCATGAAAATGTTGTATTTTAATAAAAGTTTTGTGAGGAAGTTTGATCTGTAAATTAGTGTGTGTGTGTGTGTGTGTGTGTATTACTCTGATAAAAAATATTAAGAAAAATACTCTTAAGTACTACTCTTAAATAGTCTGGGGGAAGACTTTGTGAATGAGTCAGTATTTGAATTAAGTCTTGAAGAATAAGGTAACATTGATTGGGTTGGAGAGCAAGAGTAGATGAGCCAGGATGAAGAGCATGAGGGAGGAAAACAGATTGGAAGTGACAAGGCATTCTTAGGGATAATTGAATAAGACAGTTGGCTAGAGAAGAAACACAGTAATACCAGTTACAGTTTTAGGTTGGACTCAAGTTATATAAACACTCAAAGCCAGGTGGTGGGAAGAAATTAGATCCTGAGCAGGCAGATAATGATCAAATTAGTGCTTAAGGAAGATTCACTATGAGCATGTCAACTTAAAGGGAGGGAGCTCTGTGCTGTCCTGTCAGTAGGGTGGCAGCTGGTGGATTGGAAGCATGGAAGGTGTGGGGAGACAAGGTGGGAGAAACATGGAGAAGGTGTGGTCAGTGGGGCTGGGTGAGTAAATGTGTGAATTGAGAGGGGGCTGGGGGAAGGCTCAGCTAATTCTTGCAGTTTGAGTCTATTTGGGAAAGAGATGGTATCATTTCTAAATTTGGTTTTTTTAAAAAGTAAGACACTGAGAGGTATTCAGTACTTTGTTGAAGGATAGTTGGGACGGTCTTGGCAGTGATGAGCATAAGGGGGTGCTGGGGGTCTCAGTGTCGGTTAGAAACACAGAACTTGAGCTCAGCAGAGGGGTGTAATGCATATTTATGTGTGTGTACACATGTAATCTGCCTGTATGTTAGTCTTCAAGCCATAAACGTGGATGTGGTCACCCGGGCAGGGCAGCCTGTAGAAGAGGTCGGAGAGTGCAGAGTGCACAGCAATGGGGGACACTCAAATTTTGAGGTAGTTGGAAAAAGAAAATTACTTAGGGACAAAGAAAAGTAGACAGAAAAAAGAACCAGGAAGGGGAATTTTCAAGGGGCAGTGTTAGGCAACAATGTCAAACTGCTATAGAGCAATATAGGAGAAAAATTACTTTTAAAAATCGTCTACAGGGCACCTGGGTGGCTCAGTCGTTAAGCGTCTGCCTTCGGCTCAGGTCATGATCCCGGGGTCCTGGGATCGAGCCCCGCATCAGGCTCCCAGCTCTGGGGGAAGCCTGCTTCTCCCTCTCCCACTCCCCCTGCTTGTGTTCGCTCTCTCACTGTGTCTCTATCAAGTAAATAAATAAATTTTTTAAAAAATCATCTACAATTTTTAAACTGTAATTCTAAAACAAGAATTTAAACCTATTCAGTGTGGAAGTTACGATGATTTCAGTAGAGTAAAAGAAGCAAAGCCCAGAGTGTGTGGCAGAAATAATGTCGATCATGCTTTCAGACTTTTCTAGTTGGAAGAAAAGATTGAGAAGCTGCTAACAGCTTGAAAAGACAATAGGTTCAGCAAAGGTTTTGGGGTTTTTTAGATGTGAGAAAGTTGTACGTGTTTGTATTCTAGAAGAGTAATGCTGCTGAGCCCGGTGAGGGGGATGGGGAGAGAAAAGGGCTGTGGGAGCAGGAGGAGACTGAAGGACCAGCCGTGCAGCCACGGAAAGGTGGCGTTTCACTCCTCCATGGCCGGAAAAGGAAACGGGGAGAAAATGTAAATCAATATTTACATTTCTTATCTTGGAAGATAGAATGATTGAAAGGTCTAAATTGGGGGCGCCTGGGTGGCTCAGTCGTTAAGCGTCTGCCTTCGGCTCAGGTCATGATCCCAGAGTCCTGGGATCGAGCCCCGCATCAGGCTCCCAGCTCTGGGGGAAGCCTGCTTCTCCCTCTCCCACTCCCCCTGCTTGTGTTCCTGCTCTCGCTGTGTCTGTCTCTGTCAAATAAATAAATAAAATCTTTAAAAAAAAAAAAAAAAGTCTAAATTGCTCAGAAGAAAGGAATGGACATTATTTCCTTTACAGGAAAGAGCCAGAGTGATGGTAGAGAGTTTGAGAGCAGGTATATCAGCTATTGCTGCATAACAAACCAGTCCTAAATTTATGTTTAAAACAGTAATAAAAGCGTTTATTATTCCTCACACGTCTGTGTGGTTCACAGACCTAGGTAATTCTTTTGGTCTTGCCTGGGCTCACTCAGGAGACCCCAGTGAATGAATGAGTCTAAGATGGCCTCAGGGCAGCCTGGCATGTCCATGGTGTCCCATCCTCCAGACTCGTTCTCAGGGTGGCAGGATTCTAGGAGCGAGTGCACAGAATTGTGGGAGGCCTCTTAAGGCTTTGGCTCTGAGCTAAGCACGGTGTCGCCTGTGCCACATTCGGTTCGCCTAATCACATTTCAAGGCTAGCCCATGTATATGCTCGAGGTGAGGAAATAGATACCATCCCTTAATTGAGGGAGGACTTTCAAAGTCCTGTTCAAAGAACAGAGATGTAGAGAGAGCTGGGGACTGGGACCATTTTTGTAATCAGTCTGCCCCTGCAGGAAAGGCTAGAAATGGGTACGCTCTGCATGCGGAGTTTGGTGTAATAGATGTGCTAAAATTGTCTACGTCCTGTATTTTGTAACACATGTAAGATACAGTTCTCTAACTGCTTAAATAGTGGATTTTGATATCTTCATTGTTAGTATATTCTCTTTTTTCCCCTTTGGAAGGTTGGATAATACATTAGAGGAAATTATATTTAAGCTGGTCCCTGGACTACGAGAACGTAAGTTGCTTTTTGGCTTCTTGCAGATTTTTGTGTTCTATGAAGTCAACATTTCTATTAAAGATTTCATGATTGTTTCTATTATTTTTATATTTCTTTTTTCTTTTAAATTAGAGGAACTTGAGCGTGAATCTGAATTTTGGAAGAAAAATAAGCCTCAAGAAAATGGACAAGGTGACTTTTATGTCTGTATCTGATACAGTCTCTCAAAGTGGCTAGCTTTTTGTAGCTTTGGTGAACTAATCTCTCTTCAAGCTCAGATTTCTCCGGTACAAAATTCATGTAGCCCTTCATTTACATTATGATCCTTTTATATAAAACCATGAGATGATATATACATACATGTGTGTAAATCTGGAGTCAACACCGATGAAGGCAATTGGAAGTAGAGAAAATAGGACTTTGGGAAGAGAAAAAGGAGATAAAACTGATCACTGATTATAGCAGTATTTGCTGGAGAGCTAAAGGAAACTGAAGAAATAGCCATAGTCTGCATCTAAACACTGAGGGGTTTTCTGTTTTATTTATCTTATTTTCTATGTTTGTTTTATTGGGGAAGGAGCCAAGATGTGGCTGAGTGCCAGATCAGGGGATCTGTCTGTGCTCTGATAATCTAGAATTACATGTTTATAGGTGGAACCCAAATGATACAAATTTATATATCCTGAGATATGAAAAATACTTCTAGTTGCTTATGGGAATTTTCCCCATCACTTACACAGAGTGTGCACATTTCTCTTCTGGGTCCCAGGAGACTCTGCCATCAGTAGTTTTTAATAATAATCTCAGCAAAGTGACAAACATTACTGGGCAGAGAAAAGGCTTTTTAGTATGTGTAATTCACACAACAGGGGGGAAAAAAAAGCATAACATACCTGAAATTAAAAGGAATAGTATGCTTTTCCCACTGTTATTTAATATGAGATTTATTTCAGGATAGCCTAAATACCATTGAAATCTTTTAATGATGTATGCGTGTTTTTATAGGCTCATTGAGAGCTTAAGATCATAGGATTATCAGTTACATACCATTAAGATAGGTGAGGAAATCCTGTCTTTCTCATTTCATCTGTATTTTATTAGTTCAACTTAACTGTTCAAGGCTGGCTTCCAATAGCAGGGGAGGTTTGAGAATAGTTTCAATTACTGGAATAAGGTAGGTAGGGATTATTTTTTATCTGTAACAACAAAATGAGCAAAGAAGCCCAAGCTTGACCAAAAAAATGATTCCAGTAAAGTATAAATAATATAAAGTTGACTAAATGTTCAAATTTTTGACTATCTTTTCAAGAGAACAGGAAACCAAGGGATTGTCATCATGAGGTATATAGTAGGTTTAGTCCAGGACTCAGTGTATCTTATAGACTCATGAAGGACCACAGCCTACTTTGTGTGTATCACCCTTTACCCATATTTCTCCCTTTTTAAAGTATTTTATAATGTTTTGTCTTGAGTTTGGGTAGAGAATGTGAATCTTTTCTTGGTGCTGGGAGTTCGGTTCATAAAAGGCAGCTCCTGTCTATGTGGATTCCACATAGAAGAAAGCAAGCAGAAAAAAGAGAACCCACCTGCCCTTTATGATACAACTGTATTGCTTTTATTAGGCAGTAAAGAGGGGCTAACCTGTTATTTTTTTTCCTGGGATTTTCTTTACCTTTCCCTGAATCTCTGCTTCACCCCAAGTTTGGATACTTCTCTTATAGGTGCACCCACGTAGTCTATTTCTACCTCTTCCATCAGAGTCCTTATCAATACTTCTCCATCTGTTTTCTTTACTTGCCTGTATCTCCTCCTGTACCCTGACCACTATGAGGGTGAGGATGAGAACACTCTGGTTTCAGTATTCCCCCAAGCCTAGCACAATGCATGTCAAACACAGAGTGAAAGGGACTCTGTAAAGAAATGAATTGGCACATGCGTTGTATTATATGTAGGCTGCAGGTACTTCATAGGTTAAATACATTTGTATGAAACAAAGTATGCGATTCAGATTTCTTTACTGGATTTTTAACATTACATGGCTACATACATGTTTTAAAAAGCTAATTCATTCTACTCATTTCACTAGCTGGTTTTATGAGTATCTAATAATTTGAAATTTTGAGAACTCAAAGACTATTTTATACTTTGAAAAGAGTAATTGGTTTCAAATTTGAAAATATATAGAATTTGGAATATTTTTATATCCCGTCTACTTTCTAAGTGGTCTAATCATTAATTGCAATCATTTTTCTGGCCAGATAAAGCTAGTTCTGAATCTTTCATTTGGATATCCCAGTGAGCTGAGAAATTTTAGGTTATGTTAATAAGTCACTGATGGCTTTTTAAAAATATTTCCATTGTTGAGTTGGTTGGAACATTTTAAAAATATTAAAATTTTCAGTTATTCTTCATCAAAACAAAAATGTTTAAAAAGCATTTCTTAGTTTTTTAAACATTTTTGTTTTGATGATTTTTTTTGTCTTGATTACTTTAAAATCAACTTGGAGTTACATCTAACTTGGTTTGTTTAAAATATACAGATGATACTTCAAAAGTTGACAAACCTAAAGTAGATGAAGAAGGTGATGAAAATCAAGATGATAAAGACTATCACAGAAGTGACCCACAAATTGCTATATGTCTAGATTGTTTACGAAATAATGGACAATCAGGGGACAATGTAGTAAAGGTGAGTGGACAAGCACAGTTTCTATTTTTATAATCATTTTATAGTAAATCTTTGAAAATTTGTTGATGAGTTTGGCTAGTGCTTGCTTTCAAAATTTTTATTAACATCATCAAGTAGAATACCATTCTCTGACAGCCCCATAGCAACCAACAAATGACCAAACAATTGCTTACTCCAGGCACCTGATTTCCAGCCCCCACAACTGAACAGTCCTGGGCCAATGCTACCACCTAGTGGCTAATTCCAAGAATCACGCCTCTCTTTCTCTGTCACCTCCTTTTATACCTTTGTTGGGAGTTCATATACATTGTTTCTCCCCTTTTCTGTGTGGTAACCAATTCAGACTCAAATCATTGCATCACAGTGTCTCCAACTCTTTCATTCATCCTCTCCTCATTTTCTCCTTTATTTTTCTATTTTTCTTTGCAACTCAAAAAGCCATCCATGTCATGGCTAATACATTTTATAAATAATATAATTGGTTGTGAAGTAAAATTGGGTGTCCTAAAGTGCCTGTTAACTTTGAAAGTCCTTAAAGGCTCCCATATATTTCCTGTAGAATCCCATTTCTAATCCTGTTTCCCCCTGTATCTACCTGCTAATTCGACCTTTTTGTGAAGGATCTATATACTAGAGAGTTTAAAACACCCTATTCACTTTTATTTACTTTCTTTAAATGGTGTAATTTAAGTAATGATTTCTTTTTTATTGCAAGCAACTTCCCTTTTCATTATAAATGTTCACTACTTTAGCTCTTAGATTTTTGTCAATGATTGAGAATATTGTTTTTCTCTTTATACTCCATGTTTTATGCAAGTACCTATATTCAGTGTCTCTTTTTCTCTTTTACTTCCTCTGTATAAATCTGTGAATGGGTTGAATTTTTCACTAATACCTTAAATGATATTTTCCTATTAGGAAATTAAAAGCAGATACTTTTTCAACTCAGATTAGTTTTCCCAGCATCTTACAACAAAGATATAGGAACATAGTGACTCAGTTAAGAGATAAGAAAAAAATTCTTCACTCAAGGAATTTTAGTTAGGACTCTCACATACAAACAAACAGTTATAACAGAATGATTTAGTTAAGAGGGGTTGGTTGGACAAGGCATGTAATCGTCTGTGGCAATCTTTAGAGAAGTGGCCATGGGACCTATTTATCCTTCCACGCTTCTCTTGGTTTTTATGCTCTGGTGCATATGCTTCCTTTTTGTGAGTCTTTTTTCAGGGATTTTGAAAACCTTATACTAGTCGTTTCTGTTATCCTCTTTTTTAAGAGATTCGTCTTAATGGAGATTGTGATCATCCTTTAGCTCTCTGATAGGAGTTACTATCTTGTAAATTGTGTCTTGTATCTTGAAAATTAAGTCAGTAGAAAAGCTGAATATCTTTCATAAATAAATGGGAAGTCTACTTCTTTTGGATTTCTAGTATGAAAGTTATAAAGCATTGAATTTTAGAGATTCATCTGAAAAATTACCCCTTGCCTTGATACTCTCTTGACATCTTTGACACTTCACCATCCCAGTTGACCTTTTATCCATTCACTCTTTCCTTTTTAGACTTTTCTTCCTCCTTGTGCCTTCTATTCATAAAACAACTTTCATAGCTTATGTGAATTCTACTTTGCTTCCCTGATTCCCTTTTTTCTCTGGCTGTTCCTATACTGTCTCTAATTCTTCCTGGCTTTTGCTTGATATATGTGAGTACCTCCTAAGACCTTGTCTTCCACTCAATTATTCTTTCTCTGGATTTATCCTAGGAGGTCACTTCTGTTTTTTGTGACTTCAGTTCTGCAAAGAATTTTTAAATCCCCATTTCCAACCCTGCCATCTTTCCCAAGTTGAAGAATTAAGTCTCTAACTACTTTTAAATATCTCAGTTGGAAGTTTTACTAACACCTGAAACTTAACATGTTTAAAGACAAATTCATTATACTTTCACCTAACTTTACTCCAAACCTCCTATTTCGGTTATCACTACCGTCTTTGTACCAGTCATACAAGTTCAAAACCTTGGAGTCATCCCTGACCTTTTACTGTTTTCCTTCAACCAGCCATAAGTCCTGAAAACTTTCCCTCAGTCTAGTGCTGCTCACCTTGTATAGATTTTTTAAAGCAGTCTTTAAAGTGTTCTCTGTACCTTTAATTTCTCTTATTATCCAGGGCTGAGGCTACAGCCTGAAGGTATGGTCCAGAGTCATGGCCAGTATCAGGAGCAGATAGGAAATATTTTAGGCTCTATGGAACTCCCAACAAAGGTATAAACAGAGAGATGAAATATGGTCTCTGTTGCAACTACTCAGCTTACTCATTATAGCGCTATAAGGCTATAAAGCAGCCTTAGACGATAGTGAATGAACTGGCTTGTGTTCCGATAAAACTTCACTTACCAAAATAGATAATTTTGTCTTGAGAGCTGTGGTCATAGTTTGCCTACAGAATCAAGTCTTATCTCCTTATGTTGGCATTCAGGACCTTTCACTAGCCCCTATCTTGATAAGTTTATCACCCATTATACCTATCAATCAGTGAATCCTCCTCTCAAGACAAATGATTATTGCTTTATATCTGACAAAGGATTATATTAATATTTAAAACCCTCTAAAACAGAAATGCTTCCTTTTTTGGCATGTTCTTGCCTCTTCTCACCACTCTGCTATGCTTCTGTCAAGACCCAAGCAGAGACCTCTATTCTTTGTGATGCTTTTTTGACCCTTAGTGAATCCCTTCTCTGAAATTCTGTAGGATTTGCATTTATAACTCGGTTAGGTGGTCGTTTATTAAATCAGCATTCATTGTGTTCCTGAAGGTACCAGGTACTGATGCTGTCGTTTATCTTTTGGGGATGATTGTAAACCCCTTCAAGGCAAAGAAACCATGTCTGTGTTTCTTTATAGCCTTCTCAGGCACCTCACTCCTCTGCAGGAGGGTGTGATTCTCAAACGTGGTGGTGTAGTTGCATGTACAGTTTATACTTACTACTTTTGTAATTCCAAAAATCAAAGTCAAGAGCAGGAAGGCAGTGAAAATAGTAGCATAAGGACCTTTAAAAATTCACTCTTCCATAAAAGCAGTGAAAAAAACTGCCCCAAAAAACCCTCTCAGAATCAATTTTCTTAGGAATTTGATAATTAATCAAAGGTTTGGCACGCTTGGGTGGCTCATTCATTAAGTGTCTGCCTTCTGCTCAGGTCATGATCCCAGCCAGGGTCGGAGCCCCGCATCGGGCTCCCTGCTCAGCGGGGAGCTCTGCTTCTCCCTCTCCCACTGCCCCTGCTTGTGCTCGCTCTCTTGCTCTCTCTCAAATAAATAAAAATCTTTAAAAAAAAAAAAAAAAAGGCTTGCAGAAACCCATAGAGCATTTGATCAAGAAAATGGTGTGAACAGTGAGGTTTGTGGCATTTTAACTTGCCTTAGTCCAATCCCGCCACTCTCCAGCTCTGGAGTAGCCTTTCAGGTACCAAAGGGCAGAACAGAGGTGGAACTCTTTCAAAGCCTAATTGCCAAATAATTGTCATTATTTGAGCTGTCTGGTCGTTCCTGGAACACCCCACTTATAGGCTGTCTATATTGTGCCTGACGTGGAGCTTGCCCCGTAGAAAAAACATCTGTGCGCTGGGAAGGGCAGAGCATTTTTTAGAACCAATTACAGACAAGTATTTGAACTTCATGGCTGTCTGAGGTATAGATGACATTTGGGGCATCTTGAAAAGCTGGTAAAGAAGATGTCTATAGATATCAAAGCCTGTAGAAGCTTTGAAAAGTTCTAACATATTCCTGGGAATCTGCAAGTCCAAGCATATATGTAGCACTGTGTACATGCTCAGGGAAGATCTGAGGATGCCTTAGGCTCTCACTTCTGGCTGACCTTGAGGCTCTGCACAGCAGGATGTGAAGATTAAGGCAGAGTTGTCAATAACCTGGTTGAGTATTGGAGGTGTGCCCCAAAACACATGGTCTCCTAGCAAAGACTGGGAGATTTATTGGTTCCAAGGGTATAAGGAAATCTCTGTTCAGTCACTAGCCAACCAATAGGTGGAAACTTCAGTGGCCACATATTATAAAGAATACAGGCTTCACAGAATTAGTTTAGGAAAGTCACTAAACAAAGAGAAACAGCAAGATACAGCCACAATAACAAACCCTCTGAGGCAGGTGGGTACCGGATTTCCACTGTTGCCACATTATATTATTTTAAACGTCAAGTTTTCAACAAAAAATTACGACACAAATAGAGTTAAAGTACAGCTGATATATAGGAAAAGTAATCAGAACTGTCCCTGGAGAAGTCCAGACATTAGACTTATGAGGTACAGATTTTAAGTCCTCCATTTTAAATGTGTGAAGAAAACTGAAAGAAACCATATGTCAACATTTAAATGAAAGTGTAAGAGCAGAGCAGAGCTGAGGGCCAAATAGGATCCTGAACTCACCATGTCCCACAGACAGGCCAAAGCAGCAACTGTATCTATTGCCACTAATTTTAAAAATGACCTCAAGACTGCCAGAACAGTATTCCACAGGTGGCATAGAGAGGCAGCTACATCAAAAAGGGTAAAAGCAGTGAAGATATGGTTGGTAACACAGCAGGAACGTCACAGGCACAGAGGAGCAAGGAGATCAGACTCCACACCGGTCACCCCCAGCCCTGGGGACCTTCACTGGGAAGATGGTCCTTATAATGTCTGGCTTTGAAAATCAGTGGGGCTTAACCCCAGGAGAGCTAGTGGGTGATAGGAAACCAAGTTCCCGCCCTCAGAAAGCCAACACACTAACTTGGCCTAAAACACAGTATAGCAGCAGCAATTTGAAAAGATTTGAGGTATACATGAAGGATATTTGTTGACTAATCTTAGGACCTGTACCGGTGGGGCAGGGTTCTACAGATTTCTCCAGGAACAAAACTTTGCAGGTGTTTTTCTTGCCCTCCCCAGGCTAGATAGCTAGATGCTTGCAGAAGCCAATTCTGACACACTCCATCTACCTTGCTAGCACC